AGGTACCGGCTCAAATAAATCAGATATTCTTAAAATATGTGGTTTGTATAGGAATGAGTTGCTTTCATTCATCATTTCCCCCCGTACTTTCACCTCTGTTATTTTGCCTGTAGTCAAAAGCATATTTCAATGCTGTAGACTGTATTCATTTTGTGAGGCAGAACATTAATGTGGAAAGACATTCAATGCAGCAACGCACAGCTCTTCCTCTCTCTGTCTCTTCACTGTTTCAGTCTCTTCACTCTATTTCTCTTTCTCTCTCCTATCTATGTTTGATGCCGAGTGAGATCACTGCAGCTCTCGTTTTTAAAAGCAAATGCTTTAGTCAGGCTGCAGTGGGGTGTGAGTCTTCTACAATTTCAGCTATACACACACACACATCGAGACACAAACACAGTCCCTCATTTTCATTCAGGTAGATTTAGCCAATTCGCACACTGAATGTTCTGAAAAGATGTACTTTAAATTTGTGCAGTGAGACAAAACTGCGTACACATTCAGTCTAAAAAAGGAGCTCAAATTAAAAGAGACTCCTAAATTACTTATTTTGCATTGATCCCGTGAAATCTCCCAGTGGATGTTCACTGAGCAATCTTGCATAGGCTTGTTTTCTGTTGAAATTCTCATTGATCTTCAATCCGTTGCTCTTTTTATTATATCTATGTGTTATTTATATTTGTCATTTCAGTCATTGGTGTGAGGGGTCTGGAATAGACTGGATTCTTTTTCCTGCCAAACTTTGTGAAATTGGCTGCACTAGAATTATGTGTTCTGCAGTGCAACAGTTGTGTGCAACAGCTCTGGTTACATTTTGGACCACCTCACATTAAAAAGACAACTCACTTACAATGTGTAATTGTGGATAGGAGTGTCAGGTAAATGCCAAAAATGTGAAATGCTACATGAATAATTGAATTTCTAGGTTACTTAAGTTACAAGCAGTTGGCATTCATTCCTTGAATCCTTCATTTTTAAAGTGAAATACTTTCAATAATCATTGCAGTTCTACAGCTAACAAAATTCACTCACTTTATCGGAAATGGTGTAAAAAAAAAAAAAATCCATTATTTGAGAAAAAGAACGTCTTGCTACCTTCAGTCATAGCATGCTCAAGCACTTCTATGTGAAATTCACACCACTCAAACCCTTTCTACCTTAAATCTCCTGCTACCTTCACAGAATGAGTGCCTCTCTGCTTTGCCATTGAAATGCTTATCAAAATTGTCTGTTGTCCGTAACATTTTGCATAATCCAAACAAAATTACCAAAAAGCTTCATGTGGGTTTATTACACATAAAAGATACTTAATATCCTGGTGGCTTATTTTAGAAGCTAATGTTTTCTAGTAATGAAAGAAAGGTTTAGTCGGAGAGTGTCCTTCCAAAAAGGGGCACCCACTGATAAAAGTGATACCTGAAATAACTAAACTGCAAATCATTTAAAATTATAATCCTAAAACATTTTAATAGCTGTGGCCATGTTGGTACACAGTATTTCCTTCCTTATTATAGACATACCGATAAATGAAATTGTTTTCTACCCAAAATGGAGTATGCTTTTTCAGCTGTTATTTCATTTTGACTTCTCTCACGTAGCCACATTTATTGAACAAGCTGCCTCAAGCGATATGTCTAGCTCCTCACACTATAAATAAGAAAACAATTCTGTTTGCAACGAGGTGTTTTTTGGCTGTATTCGTGGAGTGGACAAGTGGCCCCTTAAAGTGTCTCAAATTGGGGTGCCCGGTTAGCTCAGTCGGTAGAGCTGGTGACCCATATACGGAGTTGCTGCAGCGGCCCGGGTTTAAATCCGACCTGTGGCCCTTTGCTGCGTGTCATCTCCTCTCTCTCCACCCACCTTTCCTGTCTCTACAGCTGTCTCTATAAAAATAAAGCCAACAAAAGGCCAAAAAATAATTTTTAAAAAAGTGCCTCAAATTGATCTGGGACATGTCATCATGGTGAACTCCACTAATGTAGTCAAAATGTTTGATTGCAAAGTAGAGAGCTAACAAGCATGCAAATTAGTGAGTTCATTTATTTAATTATCATTCTTTAACTTCAGATCTCATTCTGTTTTTAGGTTGGATGTTTTTTTGTCTCACTTGAATGATCTGTTGGTTAGATATTTGCATGTAACCCAAATTTCTCTAACACACCATCATTTTGGGCAAAGGTTGTTAAATGACCAGTGAGTAGGATTTAGTGGCATCTAGTGGTGAAGTTGCAGATTGCAGCTAATTGAACACTGCTTACATCTGGGAATGAGAACGGTCTGTGTGTAGGAGAAACTATGGTGGTTGCCACCTAAAAAAACAATCAAGAAAAGCCCTATCTACAGTCAGTGTTTGGTGTGTCAGTTGCTACAGTAGAAACATGGCAAATGCCATGGAAGGCAGCCTATGGCGTCTAGATAAAAACAGCTAATTTTAAGGTAACAAAAACACAACGATTCCTATATCAGGTGATTATACACTAATGAAAACATACTTATGAATATTATATTCCATTTCTGCATATAGATCCTCCTAAATGTTACACACTGGACCTTTAAATGAAATGGCAACAAACAGTTACTGTGATCTATGACTTTTGTCATAGGAACGAGACGGAAGAATAGAGCAAATGAAGATGCATTTATTTTCACTGTGACAGTTTAACATTTTAATCAACATAATTTTCTATTATGATCATCCAGTTTCCTTCCTATAAGTTGAGACTGAGAGAAGGGGACGATGAGTTATGTAACCTCTTGTTGAATTGCCCTTGAGTTGTTTTCCAGCTGAAGTTGGCATGGAGATGCGCCTGTCAAGTGGGCACAGATGGTCTGTTGGGACATCTAATGTACCACTGAAACTAGATCCATATTAAAACAAAGGCACCACTTAGGGGAAGAAAGGCAATTGCATGCCCTCGTTTCTTGTTGTATATCACAGCTAATTGAAACTAACAAGAGGAAGGAAAATACTTGTGTTTCTAGTTTCCTTTTAATTTCAAGGATACAGTGTTGGTTTCATGGCACCAACCATTCAAATAACTGAAGTGTTCTCAAACAAGACATGCATACATGCAGTTGACTCGTGCCCAAGTAGCACTTTTACAGGAGGACTGTTGACCTATTGCACCTTTTTTCATTCCCAAGAGGGGTAAGGCAGTTTCACTGTGTTGTATATTGTGTTTCAAGCCATAAGACATTTCTAGCTAGTTAAAGGAAATATCCCCCCTGGAACTCTAATGCACTATTGTACCCTCCATTTCAAGATTCATTTTGGTTTTGAGTTTGTCTGCTATCACCATCATTATTGCTTTCTCATCACTGTAAATTGAAGAAGCAGGGTAATAATAAAAAGTAGATATGACAAAAACAATTCTGCACAGAATCACTCCAGTAATGCACAGAACATCACATTGTTAATAAAAGTATCAGAGTTTGAAAGCAGTCAATAAAGAAATCCATACCCAAAATGTCTGTTGGACAAAATTGAAGAACGCAGGAAGAATACATAAGATGGAGGCTTATTTTGCCAAAGTACAGACACACAGCTGTTTAATTAAAGCAAATGGCTAGTTAAATTATATGCAACTCTTTTCCAAATATATATAAATATCTCATTTGGTAATGAAACTCTGCAGCACTTCCTTTATTCCCATACTGATGGCCTGTGGATAGAGACGGAAACTATAAAATATTTACAGGCTCTCTGTCACCTTTAGACCGCCAGTGTCACTAATGCCAAGGTCTCAGTGGGGAATCTGTTGCTGAGGTGAGACTAATTGGTTAGAAACTGTCTCACTAATAAAGATTAGAAATGCTAAAGGTGAAGCACAAAACTGTTCCGTTTGCTTAGGTCTGTCATGTCACACAATATCTACATTTAACTGCATTCTACACAGATTCATTATTGCACAGTTTGACATTTATAGAAACACACATTCCTGTCAGCAACTTCACTGGAGCAGTTGATAGTTGAGTGTCTAAATCTTTGTTTCCAGTTCACTTTCCACACCCACATTGCCCCAGCCAAACTATGGATTAAAACAGGGAATCTCCTTTCACAAGCCAACTTATATAACTTAGAGCTCAGTTCAGATTAGGGACTTGCAGCAGGCGCCTTCTTGTTGCCATCCAGATTCCATGATTTCCTCCAGTTGCTTTGAAAGACAGCATGCTCCGATGACCGACATTAATGTAATGAGTTCCAACATTTGGATTTGCAGACCCCCAAGAATTTCCAAGCACATCTGATATTCAGTGGATCTTACCAATCAAAGCAAGAAGGATCATGAAAAAGGAAATGACAGCACCAAGATACAGTCTGGATGATTATATTGATTAAAATTTCTCAAATGATCAAATCAGATCAACTGACTGATTAACTGGGTAATTTTTTAGTGCTACAGCAAGCCGTAAAACATACAGCAACACACAACAGAACTTTTAGTGTTAACTGCATGGCAACTGTGGTACCTGAATAGAGATAAAACCAATTGGGCTTTATTAATTATTAATTTTTCAATTAATCAATTGGTCTTCTTAAAAGTCCAGTGTGTAACATTGAGGAGGATCTATTGGCAGAAATGGAATATAAAATTCATAGTTATGTTTTCATAAGTGTGAAATCACCTGACAATAAGAATCATTGTGTTTTCCTTACCTTAGAATGAGCTGTTTTTATCTGCAGAGGGAGCGGGTCCTCTTTCATGGTGTCGCTATGTTTAAGGTTTCTTCAGTAGCCCAGAGGTAGTTCCTACAAGCTTGGAAGGCTGAGCTGTATTCAAATGATCGCAATCTGCAACTTCAACACTAGATGTCTCTGAATCCTACATACTGGCCCAGAATCAGAAATGGCCTTGAGCCCAGTGCCATGGCCCCCTGGGACCAGCCTATAGCACTGAGTCTGCCTGCATCCACAGCAGCTTGGTTGTCTGGTGGAATGGGGTCCTGTAGGTCACCTGAATGATGATGGACATTTATTTATGCCATTGTGTTTTTTGTTGCAGGTTTCGAGAGAGGGAAGGAGGACCTCTTGCCTCTGCCTTTAAAAGAGGACTCACATTCCATATCTAAGAGCAAGGTAAGAAAAATCACTATTGATATACAGTTGTTGGGCAGGGACAATTGGGTGCATGTTCTAATGAGACCAGAGAATATGGGAATTACTGCATGTCGTGTATCCTCTTCCAGTCTCTCCTCAGGCTGTGAGATATCCTTCCTTGAGATGACTCACACATCATATACACTGAACACATCAAACATTTATCAACAAAAATTCAAAGCTCCGCCGCTCTTTCAAATGATCTCAGTGTGGAGGAGGCCCGTCTAGTTTATCTGTCGAGGTCCACATCAAATATGTTTGTCAGTGCAAATGTGGCTGAGTCTCTGTCTGAGTCACAGCAGAGGCGCTTTCATCAGACTGAAATCCTATTACATTTTTGTTATGATTTTGTGAAGTATGAAGACGTATAATAAGACAGGATAATCATTTCAGAGGTTCAAAAGCTTTATCAGCAGGGCTTCCCAAAACCAAGACAAGGTTTTAATGACTCCTTATCTGTGGACTGTTCAGATTCTGCTATCAGCAACGTCCGCCATCTTAGAAAAGCTATATGAAACTCTATACAGCTTTCTGAACCAAAGGATGTGAGAGAGAAGATTTTGGCTTTGATGCTTGTATGTACCATCAAACTTTGTCCAACCGTGCCTGTGGGAGTTTAAGGCCTTAAGTAGCGCTGCTTTAGGATCCATACACATCCCCGTTGGTCTCTCCACTTTAAATCGCTCCAACTGGCTTTGTGGAGGGAGCTGGCAGAGACACACCGGCTAACTGAACTAAGTTTGGGCTGCCGGTGCGTTGTAAAAAAAGAACTTCTAGATGCTGTTGCAGCTCTTTGCTAATGTTGTCGTGAAAAAAAATAAATGGAATGTCCTCATTTCAGTAGACTTTGTTATTTGTATCATTTGTGTTAATAGATTTGTCATTAAAAGGGAACACTTTGTAGCCAAGATTACATTTAGTCATTTAGTGGACGACTTTATCCAGAGCAGCTTACACAGAGTGCTGTAGCAGACCAAGCTGATGACTGCTATGCACAAATCCACACAGGAAAAGCTTAGTTATTATAACCAGACATGTTTGAGTGGTGTTTTCTCAGCTCAACACAAAAGATTAACAACTGATGGATACGTAATTAATGCTTGAAGACATTAAGTTGGGAAATAGTAGAGATGTTGATGTCTTTGGATATGAATAAGTTATTCTCCTGTGTGTTCACAGTCTGAAACAAAGCTATACAATGGCTCAGACAAGGATGTGTCAGCGTCTGGAGGAAAGCTCACCAAGAAGGAGTCTCTCAAGGTAAGTGAGCTTAAATCAGCTTAAGTATCCTTATATGGAGAGTGTTACAGACAGCCTAAACGCTGGTGCTTGCTCACCCACACTGTGTTAACTTGGTGAGCCAGCATGCTTAAATTACTGTATAGATGTTGAACTTTACGCTTCCTTCTTATTGTTCACCAATGTCATCACAGTACAGGATACATTACATTTAAAGTGGGAAATAAAATACAGCACTTTGCAGTCAGAAGGTACCAGGTGACACAGAGGAGTTTTAATTCCAGTCTTATTACTTCCTGCCAAATGTAATTCAGTGAGAAATATTAATATGCACAATTTGTGTGAAATTATGTCATTTGCCTTGTCTGTGCTCTGTGTAGGTGCAGAAGAAAAACTACAGGGAAGAAAAGAAGAGGGCAACCAAGGAGCTGCTCAGCACCATCACTGATCCCTCCGTCATCGTCATGGCCGACTGGCTAAAGGTGGGAACGTCTTCAACCCCACAGTCAACATTTCCTTCTAATGTTGTGTATTTGTTGATTGTGCAGCATACTGTCCATTCAAAGGATATTAAGTAACTTAATGGGTATTCTAGTGTTCCGAACAACCTCTAACAAAAGTACAGTTTTTGTTTCTTGAATGGATTTTTTTCACATGATTTAATCTTATTTACAAGCATTTACAGGGTTTAGTTTATTTGTGTCCTCTGCATTCAAGGCAGTTATTCTACACTCTATGTAGGAGGTTACATTAAACGTTTGAGAAGTTACAGGTAGATTTAAATGTGTAATTCAAAAAATTCAGATACAGTAAACATTATGGTCTGTAAATTTTTTGTTTGGCCAGTTGTTAATTTTTTTACTTTTGCTTGTATAGAAATAGAAGTGTATATAACATGGATCTTAGGGTGCAGAAATCTGTACTATGAACAGACATTGTATCTCTTTCATGGATGACTTCCCATCACACATTTTGATATGCAAATTATTACCCAATGACATCATGCATTTTCAATCAGCATGTGACGTGGTCTAGCATCTCTTTGGGACTTTTCTAGTAGACTTTAGTTCGCAACACTGTCCCTGTTGTAGAGTTTTTCACTCCAAACAACATTACAGTTCAGCTGGTTGAAAATGTTTTTTTCCCTCCTGGCCGAAAGAAACAAATCACTACAGAAACAACACTTTCTATAAACCCCTCCAAACTCACTTTTTGGGCTACTTCCAATCCTCAAGTTCCTCATGTAGCATCTTCCAAAAGGCCTTAAATCTGACATGTGTCTGTATTTGATCCAGATCCGTGGTACTCTGAAAAGCTGGACCAAGCTGTGGTGTGTGCTAAAACCAGGCGTCCTGCTCATCTATAAAACCCACAAAAACGGCCAGTGGGTGGGAACGGTGCTGCTCAACGCCTGCGAGCTCATCGAGAGGCCCTCTAAGAAGGACGGCTTCTGCTTCAAGCTCTTCCACCCGCTGGAGCAGTCCATCTGGGCCGTCAAGGTCAGAATATACCTTAAGATACAGGATTTGCAACCGAACCAGTGACTCTCAGTATTATGGAGCATTTATGGGGAGCATTCCAGGTTGGGAAATTTGGGCATCAGAGGAATTCCTTTGGAAAATAGGAATATATCAGGGAATAGAGAGTATCCAAAGGATATCCAAAAAAGTATTCCTCTACTTTTTTTTGCACTCATTGAATTAGATAGTGATTTTAGATTACATTAACAAACAAGTAAATGTTAGATAAAGAAAAGACTCTGCTTGTAAGAGACAGAAAAGTCACTGAACCCTAGTAGTTGGTGGCAGCAGCAGTAAATAGTTATGAATGTAAAAAGGAAAGAAGTGGGGAGTGACATTTAGTTTACTGATTTAATTTTCCTCTCTGGAAAAAGGATACTTTCTTAAAACGTATTGAAACTTGGCAGCCTCTTCCTCCTCCATACGCTCTTGGGCCTAATTTTACAGCAACTATATTTGAGCTTGGAAAGGTTTCTCCTAATATCCAGTTCCAACTTGATATCATAAAACTAAAACTGTTTTGCCAGACTCTTTCTTGGCCAGGCACAGTCACTTCCTTGAGGAAATAGTCTCACACATAAAATCATGACTTCTTATATTTGGAGTTTGTAACTTTTGGACAGAGTCAGGCTAGCCATTTCCCCCTGTTTCCAGTCTTTATGCTAAGCTAAGCTAACTGTCTGCCGGCTGTAGCTTCATATTTACCATAGAAAAATGTGAGTGGCATCAATCTTTTGCAATGAAATTCCCAATTTGTTTAACTGTTCCTTTAAATCTGCCATACATTACCTAATTCATTTTCATAATGCAATGGAAAGCGTCTCTGACCTTATAACCCCATTATTTTTCATTATAGACTGATTGAAGCTGGAGATTGAGAATACTGTTAGAGGTTTGTTATGCAGACAGATGAATTTGAACACTGCCTATTTTGCTCTCCAGTGCTGAACAAAACAAAATGAACAGAAACAGATCATCAGGGGGAAAATAATCTTCCTTTGTTCCCTGCAGTTAAAGCAAATAGTTAAAATGATGTGGATGTTAACTGTATAATTAAGAGCTCATCTTTGTTCAATTCAGGCCATTTTCATATTTGGCAGCGCACATTTTCCATTTGTTCCTGTGTTTTCAACACTGTTCATTCGTCCACTCCAACTGTGATTTGGTATTCATCACTGACCTCTCGTTGCAAGTGTTTTCCCTTTTTGTTTGTGCCATGAAAAGGCATGAATCACAATTAGCGGCCTGTCTTTTTTCCCCATCGTCCTCTTCACTATTGAAGTAAACACTTCACTCAATCAGCTTCTGTCCCCTCTGTCCCCTCTCATAGCTAATTTGCTTAATGGCATACTCGGGAGTCTATATTTCCTCTGTTTGCACACATAAATTATTAAAAACTGATAAAAGAAAAACCACAAACTCAGAAAACGAGGAAATCACAAAGGCACTCGTAAAACCTCCTGAAATGAAAAGAGACAAAGATCAGAATGACTGATGGACCAATCAAGAATCAAATAAAAAAAACGTACCTGAACCTTAAACACTGTAACATTGATTTGCTCCCTTCTTTTCTTATTGTCACCAGGGTCCTAAAGGAGAAGCAGTTGGCTCCATCACTCAGCCATTACCCAGCAGCCACCTCATCTTCCGCGCTGCCTCGGAGTCTGATGGTAAGAGACAGGCTGTCAATCACACTTTGGCTATGCTTGTCAGTAGAAACCTCCACTCAGTGACACAGATAGATCCATGAATCTGCATCACATTGGTATCAGCCTCATAAAGTAATATGAGTATTGGTTCAAAGCTACTTTTCCTTGCAGTATTTGGCCTTTTATGGAAGTAACACTAACCCCAATCCTTGTTATTTTAAACCAATTCATTATCTTAAAATAGGCATGTCTGAACAACCTGACCTATTTTACAGCTGCGCTCTTACACACCGATATTAGTGGGAAAATATCAGATATTCACATGGGCATCAGAAAACCACACTAATACATCTCTGTTGTGTGGGTAGGTGTTTTCTAGGCCATTTAGACAGCCAAAATGGAAACCTGTGACTTTTCAGTCACTCTGTGTGCTCTCTTGTTTGTCTCTTCTAACTGATATACTGGTACTTTTAACTATAATGTGTGTTTGTATTGGCGTTGGACAGTACCGACTAAGCAGTGTTAACTTTACATGGCTGTAATGGTCTGCCAATACACTATATGGGGGAATGTGGAGTGCAACTAAAGTATAATGGATATAATTCATGCGAGACAGAGTACGCCCAGCATGACTATCTTGCTAACCTTCCTCTCTTTGATTATCATTTAAACTCAACATGTCCTGCTTTATCAGTAGTTTCCCCAATACTTGTAATAGCTGATAAAAAATAAATTAGTTTATGTGGCGAGGGAAACATGACTTTTTTTGGCTTCTAAAGTGGGGCCAAACAGAAAAGTTTGAGAACTACTAGTATAATCCATTGATTGAGTGAATGATGAACTAGTAACTGGTTTTAGTCACATCCCATCTTGCTTCATGTCTCTGTCCATGGTGCTGAAACTTCCAATCCAGTCTGTCCCTCTCTGAGTCTCTGTCCATGGTTCTGGAATCATCAACAGTGTCCAAAAGTCTTTTCAAATCTTTTCACCCCAATGCACAGTACTTTACTTTCCTCCATTTTATTTCAGTGTATAAGTTAAGTGTATATTTTATGCACTCTATATAGCCCTGAAAAATATCCATCAAACACCTAGTCTAAGAAGGTTTTTCTCATGTAGTAAGCAATTCAATTCAGCCCTTTCTGGTTTTCATTATTAGTATTGAAACACAGTTCAATCAGTATTAAAATGAGAAGGATTTTAAAATGTTGCACTTCTGGAACTAATCCTGGAATAGGACCAGGGGTGATCATGGTACAAGCACCAAAATGATGCTCAATATTAAAAGAGGGATAATGAACAAACAGCGAAGCCTGAAAATATATGCTGCACATCAGTAGGTTTTTTCTGATCAGTCTAAATCTCCTTCCCAGGCCGATGCTGGATGGACGCCTTAGAGCTGGCCTTGAAGTGCTCCAGCCTGCTGAAGAGGACCATGATTCGCGAGGGGAAAGAGGACATGAGCACAGTAGGCACAGGCGGAGAACACTCCATTAATTTCTACAGCCTCCTCCGAGCCCACAACATCCATGGTTTCCAGTGAGTAGGAAATAAAACCCAAGCTACTACAACTATATTATCGGCCCTCAAATGTACCTTTATTTATTGTAAACATCTACCCCACCATCCGTCCTTCCTCCAGGTTTAATGACAGCGACCATTTGAAAGACCCAGACCTGTACTCAGACAAGTCAGACAGGGAGGGTGAACAGGACCACGAGGAGTCAGACCCTGAAGGCTTGGAGAAGAGCGAGGAGAGCGACAGCGACACGTCAGAGCGCCAAGACGACTCATACATAGACCTGGACCCGAATGAACACCTGCGGGAAACCCCGTACCTGGAACAGTCCCACGAGGAACTTGGAGAGGTAGGAGACAAAGAGTCCACTGTTGTCAAACAGAGCTTTTAATAAAAACAAGTTTTAAATTTCACCATATTTTCAAAGGATTTGTAGAAATCATTTTCATCTTCAGCTTGAATTAAAACTTCAGCTGAAAGAATTTTTCTTGTAGTTTTTTGCTTAATGAGGAGAAATGAGCATGTTCCTCTGTGGGGCTATTGGGGAGGCTGTAACATGGACAGGCTTTGATCACAGTCTGTGTGGGTTGGTGTGCGTGGGCATCTGCAAGACACTGTGATGGTGTGAAAGCACTTGTAAGCATTTCCATTCTAATGAAATCTGAGTTTGACAGCTCACTAATTAAACACCTACTCAGGCCGAGGCAAAAGCTCATTAAAATCTCCTTTTGCAAACCAGTTGCACAAACAGTCACATTAAAGTGTTGAGCATTTGGCGACTTAACATGTCTGCTCTGCTGTGTGTGTCTCCTACTCCAGGCTGGCGAGGCTGCCCAGACAGAGACAGTGTCAGAGGAGAATAAATCTCTGATCTGGACTCTGCTGAAGCAGGTGCGACCTGGTATGGATCTATCCAAGGTGGTGCTGCCCACCTTCATCCTGGAGCCAAGGTCCTTTCTGGACAAACTGTCTGACTACTACTATCACGCAGACTTCCTGTCAGAGTAAGCCCTTCCCATTTTCTGTTTGCCCAAAGGCTTTTAAAATGAATAGTTTGACATTTTGGGGAACATGCTTATTTGGTTTCTTGCTGATGAGAAGGTCAGTCCCAATCATATCTTTATGCTAAATAGGTTGAGCCAGCAGGCTATTAGCATAGGCTCTGCCCATAGTTCATATTTAACAGACTTCATCACTTCTCAAATAAGGTTCTTTTTATGGTTCTTCTTGCCACGTGGTACCAGTCTACATACCACTGAGTTCAGCTGTCTGTAGCCTATGTAAGGACAGAACATTAAGCTGTTAGGATAGCAAAGAAAAATTGACATGGTCCAACATGTACTTAAAATTGAGAGAAAAACTTTTTGGGCAATAATTAATTTAAAGAAACTTAACTTAACTTAACTGCTAGATCTCTTGACCACCAGCATCTCAGACCAAAAGAATAGCCGACCAGATTTAATTGACAGAACTAGTCATTTTACCTTGCAGATAATCGTAAAACACACTTAAAACTGTACAGAACTAAAATAAAACACACTAAAACCATCTTTATTAGTCTTACAGTCTTTGTGCCCAATGCTGGTTTGGTCAAAATAACCTCTTAATTCACAGAGTTAAATGTGCAAATATTTGCACAACGGGGGTGCAGCGTAGCCAATCCTTGGGGACAAATGCACTTGTCAAAGTACATCCATAAAGTGCTTATTTTTTCCAACGACAGGCTCAGATTGTTATTGTAAGTGTCTAACAACATCAGGAAAAGGATCCCTACAGAGAAAGACCTTTTGTTTAACCAAAAACAGCTGTTCGCAAGACCAGAAATCACTATCACCACCAGACTCCATGCACTTTGACCGGCTTTGTAAACAAATCACTATAGTAACGCAGGCAAAGTGAGTGTGACATCATTCTTAGCTCAGGGCATATGTTTACATATCAAATAGTTGTTTGCTGCTATATTCATGTTTTAAACTTCATAAATATAACCTTTAAATTAACATTTATTAGATTATTGTTTATGATGTGGTAATTTTTCTTCTTCAGTAATAAAATATTTGGTGTTTTCCCGAGTTGTTTAGTGTTTAAAATCAGAATACATATCTGGGTCGATTTTCATTACTTTACCAGTAATTCCTTGTCTTTGAAATGTGCCTTTATAGTTTCAATTGATTGACTGATTGTCATATAATATGACACTGTCCTTGAATGTCTTACTATCAGAAGAAAGAAAAATATACTCACACTGTCTTTGTTTTCAATGAAGACGTTCTGTGGATACATCAGTGCACAACGACAAGTAGAGAAAAGCTGGGAGAGATGATCAATAGAATGTTGTAGTAGCAGGTTGTACAGCACTTGTTATGGAGGAACATCAGTCTGTGTTTGTTTAATTCTCAGGGCTGCAATCGAAGAGAACGCCTACAACCGGATGAAGAAGGTGGTGAAGTGGTACATCTCTGGATTTTATAAAAAGCCAAAGGTCAGGAGAATAAAGCGACTTCATGTTGATGAGCTATATAACTATACGTGCTTTCTATATACAGTACGCTATACTAAACACATTTGTCCTGTTGGTTTTTAATCCAAAGGGGTTGAAGAAGCCTTACAACCCCATTATTGGGGAGACATACCGCTGCATGTGGCTCCACCAGAAAACCAACAGCAAGACCTTCTACATCGCGGAACAGGTAACAACAGCTCTACTGCTAAGAGTACAAACTACTAGCAATCTGATTGGTCAAGAGCTCATTCCACCTGTAAAAAGTAGCTTTAGGTTTGGTCATTGGAATATCTGCAGCATTCAAGTTGACTACATAAGTGTGTGTTTCTCTTCAGGTATCCCATCATCCTCCAGTGTCAGCCTTCTATGTCAGCAACAGGAAGGACGGATTCTGTCTCAGTGGCAGCATCCTCGCCAAGTCCAAGTTTTATGGTACACACACTCACACGACTATCAATTAACAGGAACCTTAAATTTGAATAAAACAGTATGCTAATGTTTGTTCAGCTGTGAATTTATTATTTCTTTGCTGCTCAAGCACATCTGTCCACTGACTGCTGTTGTTTACATTCTAGGAAACTCCCTGTCGGCCATATTAGACGGGGAGGCTCGGCTCACTTTCCTTAACCGAGGAGAGGACTATGTGATGAACATGCCCTACGCTCACTGTAAAGGTCAGAGTGCAACGTGCTCTTACTTACGCCATGATGTGACTTCAGTAGAGTTTTTATGTAGCTGTAAAATGGACTGTTGAGATGTGTTAGGTGGGTAAACTCACAGAGAGAGATTGATGCAGAAGTAAAACAAATACAACTCATGCAACTTTTGTGTTGCAGCATTTCGTGTTGAAGGTTTGACACATTACTGTTGGACATCAAAAGCATTATTATCTATTTTCCATCTGCTAGGCATCCTGTATGGCACCATGACCCTGGAGCTGGGCGGTCAGATCACCATTGCGTGTGAGAAAACGGGCTACAGTGCTCAGCTTGAGTTCAAACTGAAGGTATGTCTGTGTTTTCTTGTTCGAGATAAATCTACTTATTTAGTAGTAGTAGATAATGTCAGTCCTTAATTGATAGAGTAGGACTTTTTTTTTTTTTTTTTTTAGAGCTGTTGAGTAATAAACTTCTTAAGAGAGCACTCCTCAAAGTCAGTTTCTCACATGACTTTTCTAAATGTCTCACACCGCCACCAAAACCACTTCCTCTCCCACCCTGTAAAACATCCCATCCTCCATCAACTGCATCCTCCTATCATGAACTAGCAACAGGTACATGTCAGCGAAAGCAAATGGGGGAATCAATACATTTGAATTAAAATACAAATCATGATGGAGTATCTTGCTGTTAGACTTATTGTTGCAATGGTATCTTTTTGCCTAATGTAGCTTGGTAGACAATAGTGAGTACTATTGCATGCAGTGCACCTGTTTAAACCATTAAGATGAAGTGCTTTCATTAGTTAAGTGTAATTGGAGGTTGATGGTGGTCGTTAGCTTAATTCCTTTTGTTACTTAATATGACTTGCTCAATCAGCCACATTTCTTTTGTATCTGAAGGGGAAAGGCTGTGCTAAACAACACAACCGTCCTATTTTACACTACACCCACATAAATGACACATAATAAATCACAGTATTTCTTTCCACAGTAATCGCAGCATGTAAACTGTATGTGTGCATGTATCTCTCCCTCCTTTCCCCTTCCTTATACTTACGTCCCTTCCCTTCCTTCTCTCCTTCCCCACCGCCCCATCACTCTCTCGCTCCTCCTTTCTCTCCGCTCTGTCCTCCAGCCGTTCCTGGGCAGCAGTGACAGTGTCAATGAGATCTCTGGAAAGATCAAGCTGGGGAAGGAGGTGTTAGCTACGCTAGAAGGACACTGGGTAAGACACACTTTTCATATATTCTTCTGATGACTGCTTGTTGCATAAGAAACCCTGATGGACACACAATGTGCAACATGCAGGGTTCAGCTCATGTTACATACAAGTCCTTTATCTCTTTAAAAGCCCTTTGCTAATAGGGCAGTTACTCCAGACAGACTTGTAATAAAAATACCTAAAAATATTTGCCCGAGTGTAAATTAGACTTTTTCAGTAAATTGTATTTGTTTTATGTGTTGTGATTGTATTAAACTTCCTATGTTGATGTTCAGTGAAATTTGTTAAGTTAAAATTGTTAAGCTTCCTATAAACCATGTGTCTCTATGTCTTCGTCTGTTTTAGTGAAGCTGTGAAATTATACAAAATAGTGTCAGCCTGGTTATGAACCAAATGAATACTTAATGCAGATAAAAGCTTCACTGTGCTCTAGTTTGTATCTGGCGCTGTCTTTTGGCAAGTAAAGAGACCTTTTTCTTTTTACTTTGCTCCCACAGGACAGTGAGATCTTTATTAACGACAAGAAGACAGGGACGGTGGACACTTTCTGGAACCCGACACCAGAGTTGAGGCAGAGCCGACTGACCCGCTGCACCGTCCCCCCAGAGGAGCAGGGAGAGCTCGAATCAGAAAGGTGGATTTGACTTTACTCTTATCAGCAGAACAGTCTGCAAAGTTCTGTTCCCACATTGTAAAAAAAGTTTGGAATAAAGACAAAGTTTTATTTTTATCGATGTATTGTATTGTTTTGTACCAGTGTCTTATTTATTGGCTTTTATTGTCCCAGATTCACCTCAGTCACTCTTAGGCATCTTGATATATTTTCTATTACTCATTTGACTTTGTTCCCTCTTAACCCATCAGGCTGTGGCAGCACGTGACCCGGGCCATCACCAACAAGGACCAGACCGAGGCCACCAACGAGAAGTTTATCCTGGAGGAGGTTCAGAGGAAGTCCGCCCGCGAGCGAAAGGCCAAGTGTGAGGAGTGGAACCCCGCCCTGTTCGAGCAGGACCCCGTCACCGGAGAGTGGCATTACAGATATGCCGAGTGAGTAAAACCAGACACAGAGTACAGTAACAGGCAAAAATAACCAGTCATATTTAACAATGAAACAAACAAACAAACTGAAAAGAACTTAAACAGCTACTTATGAGTGTCATTGCTAACTAATTATTCATTAATGATAATGTACAGTACAGTATACTACTTATAAATACATTATCAGCAAAAAAGGAGAATGCTTAACATTACTAACAATTATTATTATTATAGCCCGACTGATGCTGGATTGTGTAGGCTAATACTGATTGTAAAAATCTGACAATGATATAGCAGTCTATATTTGTTTCTTTACATAAACAATTTGAAAAAGATCCCTTAAATGTAGTTTCTAAACAATTGTGACGAGGAAACAATATATAGTGAGAAGGACAGTGTAAATTATAACTTTATTTGTACAGCACTTCACTTCAAAAACAACTTAGTGCTTTACAAAGGCATAAAAACAAGAGGAATTAACAGGTATAATGAAGTAGAATAGATACAGTAATAAAGACAAACTAGGTATTAATTACTAAACACAATAAAATGTATAAGAGAATTAAAAGAAGAGACAGAGCTGGCCTGTCTGATCTCTAGCAGGTTGTTCCAGAGCTGTGGTGCCCTGAGTCCAAAGGCTCCATCCCCTCTGGTTTGTAGCCTTGACTCAGGAATTACTAATAGATCTCTGCCAGAGGATCTCAGGCTGTATTCAGGCTTGTAAGTGGTTAGTTAGCCAGTGATATAATCAGGGGCCAACCCCAAATTTGTTTTAAATGCAATCATTCAATTTTTTTTAAATCAATTCAAGCCACTGAAGAGATGCTAATATAGGCGTTGTGTGGGCTCTTCTGTTGGATTTCGTGATTGAGAATGGACACTGTAATGGAGACACTGTTTCTAAATTACCACATTGTACTGCAATTTCCTGTTTCTTATTGGTGGACATTATGTGCCATGTGACAGGGTGCCATCTAGTGCCCATCCTCTATAACTGCAGGGGTGATGGCCAACCTGCTATCAGACTATACTTTTAGTACTACTATAGCTTTTAATATATTGTATGATAGACAGGAAGGGTTTTTACTGGTAAACAGTGTCGGTATTGTGCAGCTATATCAGGTGAAATGATGTGGAGGGCGCTGAGGATCTCCCCACTGTTTTTATTTGTTGTCTGTCTTTCATTTTCCCTTTGTGTCTTTATCTGCCTCTCTATGTAACATTTCTCTTTCTCTCTTTCATCCATGTATTTCTTTGTCTCTGTTATCTTTTCTATTGTCCTATGCTACCCCCATGTGTCCGTCTCACTATTTTTCCTTCTCCACGTCTCCTCATCTCGCCCTGTGTGTGTCTCGGCCCCCTCCCCAGCACGAGGCCATGGGATCCGCTCAACGACCTGATCCAGTTTGAGAAAGATGGCTGTATCCAGACCAAGGTCCGACACCGCACCCCTATGGTACGTTCTGGCAGTCTTATTAGTCTGAGTAACCAGGGGCCGCGGAGGGACAATTGCAAGTGCCAGGTAGGTCGCCCCGATCGAAAACCGCCATTAAAAAACAAAAAAACGCAGCTCGCCGCCTCAGCCACCTTCCACGCAGCACTCGGTGTACCGTCTTCATTGTCGCTTCTTCTCTTTGTGTCGTCGCCACTGTTCCGCCATCGCCGTTGTCGCCGCTGCTCCTTTTTTGTCTTTTTCTTTTTCTTTGTCACTGTTTTTTTCTTTTCCTACCCTGGCACCTGCTGTTCTCTTTGTATGGGAGGGAAGGGTCTCCGTTGACATGGAGAACTTCCTTTTCTCGCCTTGTCAAAAGGAAAAGGATCATTTGACATGAAGAACGACATTTGTTATACAGGCCTTTGGAAATATTATATATTTTTTTGTTGTGTTGTGAAATAATTTACCACGTATTGACACCTTGTAGATTATGAACTGAATTTATTTGTACATGAACATTACTTTACTGCCATTGATTTTTCCATTTCCCTCGATAAAATGTCTCAGTTTTTACTACCTTAATCTTACAGTGAAAGTGGAGGCAGTGTCTAAAGCTGCATATTCTCCATGTGAAATGTAACAAAGTGATAATAAACCCATGTTGGGGTTTAAATACTATTCCTCAAAGTTTGTTGCAAAGGCTGTAAATTCTTTTTTGCACTTAATTTAGTTTTCCCCCATACAAAGTGTAAATGAGAGAACAGCTCCAACCATCACATCAACAGAGCAACCACTGCCGTCGACGCCTGGTTGCTTCAGGGTGTCCGCCACACCCTCCTCACCCTCCACCTGTCCTCATCTTCATGTTTGTTTCTGTGTGTGTGTTCGCTCACTGAGTCTCAACTTCTACTGAGCTGCTCCTTGTTCAGGTTATGTTGAGAAACTAAAGGCTGCTGTGGTGCAGTCGCTGTAACTGCTGCTCGTGTGTTCGGATTCTGTGTGTGTGTGTTCTAGGCCTGGGCGATAAATCAATAGCAATATATATCGACAACAGACACTAACAAATACCCCCTGGCTTATAAACATCATCATATCCCTTGTAATGGAGCATGCTATAAGTGAATTACCATAGTCGCTTCCATCATTTGTCATCCATCACAACCAGTGCCTGAAATGGGCCTCTTCACTATTCTTACCAGTAGTGACGACTGGCACTTCAGATTTTTGTCCCCATGAATACTTGCGTGTAAACACGTAGTTAGCCCTAACGCTAAAAAAATAGCACTGAAATTGTCCTTCTTTAAAGGGATTAAAAAAGAATTAGGCTTAGGGTTATGTTGTGTTTAGGGTTAGGGTTGTCCTGAATTAGTCTTTTTTGTTCCAATTCAGGCACTGAGCCTTCCAAGTGTGTAGGAGAAACTACGGTTGGCACGAAACTCTTAAAAAGCCCTATCTAGAGCCAGTGTTTGGTTTGTCCGTTCTGGGTTACTGTAGAAACACTCAACATGGTGGATTCTGTAAAAGAGTACCCACTTCCTCTGTAGATAAAAACGGCTCATTCTAAGGTAACAAAAACAGTTTTTCTATTCAGGTGATTTTACACTAATGGAAACAATTTTTATTTCTGCCAATAGATCCTCCTCAATGTTACACACTGGACCGACCTTTAAGTACATTAAGTTCAACATTTTTCACCTGGTCTTTATTAAGAATAGTATATAGAATAATTATCAATATTGACAGAAATGAAATATTTTATCGTGATATATTTAAAATCGCCCAGCCCTAGTTGGTTCAAAGTAACCACCTGCCAAGCCCCTGAGCTAGTCTCTGGTCAACGCATCCATATCTGTCTATTTGGATTAGCTTTTATAAGGTAGAAATGAAATGTTTGGTTGGTAAAACTTAAACTAACTTTATTAAGCATCCTCAATACTGTTTGTGCACTTCTGTTCTCCTGGTATTTGTCAAAATAATGTCTGAAAATGTTTTTTGTGCTGCCAACCTGAAATCAACCTTTTAAAAGCTGTTTTGGCTTTTCCTGAAAGTGCATCACATTAACTAAGGCACTAAGAATAAGAGCTGTAATCCAAATTAATCCCTTTTGAAGGAAATTATTTTAATGTCCCGGCTCTTGGCAGGTTTGGTTAATTTTGGATGCCGGTTATGTGTCATTGTTGAGTGTTTTAAATAGATGTGGCTGACTGATGTTCCAGCATGCCTTGCACATCACATCATTGCTGCGCCAACGCCGACTAGCATGTTTGTGTGTAAGCGTGTGTATCAATTTGTTGTACGTAAACATTGTCTGTAAACAGTTCTGTAAATGTTCTGTTTTAGTGTTGATGCTAAGATATGTTTGTATGTTCTCTTATTTGGTTGTAGCTGTTGCGTGTGGCCTCGTCGATTGACCCGTTTCTCTTTGTGTGTTTGTGTGCGCTTACATGTGTGTCGCTGCACGCGTGTTTAGGTAACGGTGCCAAAGAGGAAACACAAGAGCGACAAGCCCAAGAGCCCAGAGAGTGGCTGTTCTTCCCCCGAACCCGACCGCCAAGACTCGTCTGGCAGCGAACGTGAGTCACACTCGCATACAAATACACACATACACACGGAGTAACACACACCACGTTGTACTTTTTATGGTAAAAATCCACATTTACTTACACTGGCCTGCAGCATATAGTCTGTGATAGATACTGTATGATAATGTTAATACAGACAGACAACAGCACAATAAGCAGGTAAAACAAACTTCTCGGTAAATACTGGGCTAAATCTAGTTTAAAAATTGGACAATTTTTAGACATATACTGCTGTTTCAAGAGCCAATAGATCACTAAGGTTTAGTGTGAAGCTACATGTTGAAATATCATCAAGGCAATGCTGTTGAAACACTGGTTATATGTAGCCTAGACAGCTGTAACATTTTAACTTTTCACCCAGGTTTAGCATGGTTTTAATGTAGTTGTCTAAATCTGCTAAACACCCTACAAATAAGGGTTTAAACTAGTCTGAGAGTGTAGTTAACTTCTCATGTTACCAGCTGTTAAAAAGGTCAACGTTAGTAAACAGCACACTCTGGTGGTGTGGAGCTGATGGTGTAGGAGCATGCTTGTATTTCATGTTTCATTTAGTTTGTATCTACACCCAACATTAGGATCTAAAATGATAATACACTCTAAGCTAATACAGTTGTAAAACTTGCTTTAACATGGCAGGTTTAACCAGGGCATCTGCAGGTCTTAAAGTGTTAAAAAGATCTCCCAAAAATGCCTTAGAAGGTCTTACACTTTATTTAGGTTCTACTCTATGTTGTCCTTGCTTACTGTAGACAGCAACAGTACTTTTATACTTTTTATGTATTTTAAGACTATTGGAAGACATTACACATTTATAAACTACAAGGACAGTGTATTGTGCGCACAGGAGGCTGTTTCATTCTTTTTTGTGAATTTCCATTAGTGCCATAAAACCATTAGCAAACACTGTAGCTTTAAAGTGGGATTTCTTTTATACTTTCTTTTACTTTTTTTTTTGTACTTCTCATTATGAAGTGAATGTAGATTGCCCGGTGTATTGCCTGTAGAATAATGTAGTTCCCTATAAGCCTCGCTCTCACTATACAATTGTGTCTGACACTAGACACGATACTTCCCAAGAAAGGCTCGATTCAGGTCCAGGTCACATAAATTCATTATATATATTACGAGGAATTATTGTGATATACAGCTGGGAAGCACTCTCAACAGTTTGGTATAAATGTCAATAAATTCATGTACTTACTAAATAATTGTAGGCCTTATTTTCCCTGTTGGTTTTGCATCTTTGGATGACCCTGGAAAAAGGATTAAATCACATTATATATGGTATTAAAAAGGTCTTTGAAGTCTCTTTGGTTAACCCTGCCCAAACACACTTTGTTGCAGGACACAAAAGCAAGCATAACAGTCGGCTGAGGAAAAAAGGAGCAGACCTCAGTGAACTTCAAAGTGCCATTGAATCTATAAAGAGGACGCAGGAGGACATTAACAGGTGAGATGGAGCTTTAGTCTCACTGTACCACGGCCTTAATGTGATGCCTGCGTTTTGAGCATCTACATATAACTCCTGTGTGTTTTTAGGAGCATCAGTGTGCTGCGCAGCCGTGCGACGGGCCGGGCGGAGGGCGGCTCTTTCCTCCAGCAGCGCGACTACGTCATCATCGTTTTCCTCATCCTCCTTCAGGTCCTGATCAACTATGTCTTCAAGTAGCAGCCATAACCCCTCAGAGAGAGTGACGCCCTCACACACACACACACACACACACACACACACACACACACACACACTCTCTCTGAACGTTAGCCGTCACAGCAGGGGGGGAGGGGGACTAAGAGACGTGAACTTTTACCTCTCACAATAAGTGACTGCGACAGTCTCCTCCAACTCTCTTCTTCTCTGTCTTTATTAAGTCCAACTACACACGTCCAGAAAAGTGGACACTTCCACACAAAAACAGACCTTTTTTAAAACTTTATTTTTAACCAGTCCATTCCAAAACTCTGGGGAGATCCACAGATTTCAAAGCGGAGAGGAGCAGCGATAAGGAGAGATCGCTGCAGGGGAGATTTTGGTGTGATGAAGTCTCGACTGCCACTCTGGAGCTTATTGATTTGCCTCGATGTAAGAGGCAAAGACAGCAGCCATTTTTTAGCTGTTGATTGTTTGTTTTTTTCCGATGGAGTGAAACTACTCTGTTGATTCACATTTCACCTCAAACGACAGGGAACCTTCTAACAATGGAGACGAGTACCACGACTCAGATGGTAACAAAAAAAACCCAACTTTAATTTTAATGTTTTTTTTGTTTTTTTTTTATCGTTTTGTTTCTTTGCTTGGTGTGTCCTTTGTGTATAGAGGTCTGCTTGGAACAAAAAGCGGTGATAAGGGAGAGAAAAACAAAGTGGTCCAATTTATGTGACTTTTATTTTTTTATTATCAGATACTTTCATATCGACAGGGGTTTCCGGACATGGAAATGAACGAGGAAGACAAATAACACAAGTCAAAAGGAACAGAAGCTATAATTTCTGCTGTATAATAAAACTTCACCTTTTGCATACAAAGTCAATGTTTCAAGAAAAAAGTTAAATGTTTGACACAATGTCCTTGTATACTGTAGGTAGCATGTACAGACAGAGGAGCGTGATTAGGACATTAGCCCTATGTACAGTATTTTGTCTTAAGGCACAAATGCACTGGAAACGTCAGTTGTTTGTGTTGTCGATGCGGTCATCATTTTCGACTTGGGTTCAAGTGGACATCCGAATAGTTTTAAATTTCTGCTCTGACGGGGTTCAGAGCATCAACGGAGGGGTCAAAAAAGATCAGTTTTGTGAATTTTCCATGTGCTTCAGTGACCACTGCCCTAGTTTCAGGGAAAGGGAGTTGATATGTTTTTAATGGAAGTCGGCATTATGTAACAACTGCCTTCAACTGGCAAGTTAAAGGAATAGAACAGGAAATACGTTTATCACTGTCCGTTCAATACAGCCAGCAGCTGGTTAGCTTAGCTTAGCATAAAGACTGGAAACAGGAAAACTAGCCTTGCTATGTCCAAATGTAACAAAATCCACCTTCCAGCCCCTCTTAAACCTTACTTATTAACATGTTATATCTCATTGGTTTAATCTGTACACAAAACTACATGTAAACACATTCGTTTTACTGTGCGGGCTATTTTTTGTAATCACCCTAAGCTTTCCAGGCAACCAGCAGAGACTGGCTAAGAGAAATTCTGCCTAAGAATTAGTCACTTTGGTTTTTGTACAGATTAAACAAATGAGATACAGCGTGTTTATTGGGGAGCTTTAGAGCTGCTGGTAGGCGGATTTTGTTACATTTGGACGGAGCCAGGCTAACTAACTAACAGACTGCTGTCTTTAACTTCATATGTACTCGACAGACTGAGCGGTATCAATCCTCTCATACTGCAAGAAAGTGCTTTTCCCAAAGTAAAGTCTTACTGTTCCTTCAAAATTGTTATTTAAATTGCAGAGTAAAGTTGTGCAACCATATAGATGAAATATAAAACTTCTGTGACTTCTGTGCCATCATGGCAGAGTCAAATTCAGAGCACCAGTTATTGCTTCCAGTGTTTTTGTGCCTCAGATGTTCACCAGGAGAACTAGAATATAGACACTTTATTAAGCTACTAGTGGGAGGAGGAGATAGACTTTTTCTAATTACTACTATCACCATAGTAAACCATTCCAAATGTACGCAAGTACCAGCCAAACTCAGTGTGTAGAGTAGACGTCGGCCCCGTTCACTGTGTAAATATCCAACGGGGTGGCTCGTTCCTCGCAAGTAGCGCGTGGTGTTTCAACACCAAGGTTCGCAATACAGACACTCCCGCGCTGTGCACAAGCCAGTCTTTTTCAACCTTGTGTGTCTTTTTGTCTACTGCTCTGTAGATACACATGGACAAACAACAACAGATTAGTGGGGTACACAATTAGATTCCCATTGATCCAAATGGTCTCAAGAAGTTGCTGTTATTCAGCAGTTGTTGCAGAAGTAAGGAACGTTGGCAACTTTGTTCGTATACATCGTGGTTCCAATCTGTTGCCTTCCTCATTGGAAACATGACTGTTGACATTTTAAAGTCTCAGAAACAGTACGCTAGATAGCAAAGTTCAGAAATAAATAGTGGACATTATACCCTGAAAATGTACACTGTGCTTATGAGGATTAGGACTTATGAGGACGCACTAGGTTAAGTGCTGTGTTAAGCACTACTAAAGACAAACAAACTCCCAGGAGTCTAGTTTGTATACTGTAAACTTAGTTTGGATCCTGTATTTGTTTTTAGTATCAACCAAGGATGAAGGCAGCATATTAGAACCTACACCTGACCTTTTTACACAGTCTGTCAGGATTTTCTCCTAAGATGCAAGTAACTAACTACTAATTGAGGCAATTCAAAAAGATCCTAACCATTTATGGACAATATCTGATTATTGGTTTTGTATATCTCTTCGCCTGTCCTGATGTTAGCCTTGTCGACGTTTACATATCTGATTGCCTCCGCCGTCAGCAGACTGTTGAGCGATGGAAACTTTGTAACGCTAACACAGGTATAAAGAAAAAGTGGTAGCATCGTCGGGAGCCAGCTGTGACCCCCGTAAAGTTACCCGGCTGGCCCGTGTGTATCTGTACGTGTATTTTTGTGTATCCTCATTGCCTCGATCGCTCATCTTAAACAGAGAATCCAGATGTTAGAATGTGGAGAAATAAGTATATACCAGTGCCTTCTAGAGTCGGACTGGGGTTGGGGTAGATAGGGGGTTTTAACTGAGGTGGTAGGAGGTCGGCAGGGATGTGGTGGGCGTGGTGTGGAGCATTCAAACGTAGCCAGAGTCCAAGTTTCAAGGTAGTAATGAAGGGAATAAAAGCATTGGTGAGGGGACCTGGACCTGGACCTGGGAGTTGGGACCCTGGCGGCGGCTGTAGTCACTGTAGTGTTTTAGAGCGGACGTGCCATACGAAGCCTTAGAAACAAGTCTGAATCCTGCTCCACAGCTCGCCACCCCACCAAGCTCCCGCCTCCCCTCCTGAAGCGTCGCCATAGTAACTCACCCGTAGGTTTCCGGATGCTGATTCCTGCCACAGGAGAGCGAGGGAGGGAAAGAGACCACTCCTCTCCCTTGTCGTCCTTGTCCCTCTCTCGCTCTCTCACACACCAAATTCAGAGGGAAATAAACATCTCTTACGTTTGTTGTTGTCGCTGTATCTGTAAAAGAATGCATTTTATTTATTCCTCTTTTGTATGTGGGTTTATGTTCTGCTTTGTAGCATTAGGTCACCGTTCTGTTTGTTTTTTCTTTAACATTTTTCAACGCTGATTTTAAAATCACACACTGTTGGTTTTATTCCACTCCTCGCCGCTTGGTGTCACACTCAAGCGACTGTCCTACACTTGTGCACACTGTCAATATCAACTTCCCCTCCCCCCCAATCCCCCCTTCCCCCCCACACACACACACACATACCTACCCTTTTGCCTATCTGAGTACCTGAATATATTTACTGTATCTCCATGGCAACTATAACTTCCTGAAAGTTTATGGTCACATGTAACATAACAGAGAATAAAAACAAATGACATCCAGGGGTCTTCTGTTTGTGTTTGGTGTGAAGATGCACATAACAGTCCAAAGCATCTGTATATGGGATTTCTTATTCATTCTGTATTTACTGATATTTTAAAAGGGGGTGCTGACATTACTGCTTGGATTGTCTTCTCTTAAAAAGTGTCCATTCAAATTTGATGTGTGGTTCTGTAACTGGAAAAACATGAAACTTGGAGAGAATATAGACCAAAACATAAACAAGGTATCATTATGCAAATGGATAAAACGTGTAGGTGACAAAGATAGAAACACGTCACTCGGAGAATTAAACACTACAAATCCTGGCCAAGACTGGGCTAGATTGGAGAAAATAATCAAAATAACGTCAGAAAAAAAAAACAAATGGGGGAAAATAAATGAATAGCAAGCAAGATAAAATGAAAGTAAATTGAAACAGCACTGACACATGGATTGAAGTCACATTGTATGCGAGAGAAATAGGACAAAGGGAATTGGTTTAGGATTTTACAGATTTAAATCAGATTTATTTACGCTTGTTTGGAATTGCTGCTTGGTTGCCATCTTATCAAATAAACATTTTCATCTTCCAGTTAAAAAGTAACTTCTTTATTTTTATCTTTCATTTTAATCTCCCTCTTTAGATGCAATTTTCAGCAACGGGAAGGCCTTGAAGCAGCCAGTTGATGCTAATTTAAATTTGAAAAAGAATAGAAAGGGATAAAAGATGAATAATACATTCATGTAATATGAGCATGAAAATGCATGTACATTGGCCTCATTAATTATGTATTGGCTCTAATAAGCCAATGTTATTAAAATATTTAAATCACCAAATGAAATAATGGTTATAGTTTCATTTGCCTTCTTAAATGAACCTTTATTATCCAAAGTGGTTGACATTTAAAGGTAAAAACAACCAAAAGTGATCCTTTGCAATATTCTCCATTGTTTGAAATGATTTGGTTCACCGTAAAACAGCACAGCCACCATTAGAGGGAGATAGAGAGTCTTCTTTCAGCCTGGGAACCATTTGGTTAGAGCTGATTAGACCTGTCATTGTGATTTCCTGAACCACACACACACACACACATCTGTATCCGGCTGTGATCCCGTACATCAGGTTCACCATATTTTCTAATAATCTGACACTTCCTAGGAAGCCTGGAGGTTACAGAGGGTTGAGGCTGGACTGCTGCAGTTTCATATCCATGGATCAGGCCTTCAGCAGTTATTTTAGTGCCCTTGAGCAATGCACCTAACCCCGCAGCTGTTCCAGTAACAAGAGGTAGAAGCCCGAGATTGTGCTACTGCCAATATGAAGGTGAAAAGGGATTTAGGGCTTGTGTTCTCATAAAGTATTTGCCATACTTTTGAATGTAGTACCACTTTATTCATCCATTATGAGTCAGAACAAAATATAAGAAAGTAGATTAGAACACAGATTATTTCAGGATACATGACACTGGGCCTGTTACATATTTGTGGCATTAAAATTGCAAATGTGAAATCATAAAACCAGCCCTTAAAAACAACATTTTCCTGATAAGAAATCAACTTCTGAAATCCTCACACCCCACATTCAAAGCACCAGTGTGTAGGGTTAAGTGGTATCTAGCACTGAAGTTGCAGATTACAACTAACTGAACACCACTCGCGTTTGTGGATAAAAACAGCTGACTCTAAGGTAACGAAAACACAATTCCTACATTCATGTGATAATACACAAATGAAAATACACCTATAAATATTATATTCCATTTCTGCCAGTAGAACTTTACACTCTGCATTTAATAAAAAACACATGAATAACACCGATCACTGTTCTTGAATGTCACCAAACTGCAGCTCGAAAGTCTTTGAAAGTGATGTCCAAGTGAGCTCGAGCAGCCCAAGTCTATCCAGACTGCAGTCTGAATCATTGGCCAGGCTTCCCCACTGTCATTTCCTCAGCCAAGGACGTTGACGAAGGTTGATAGAGCAGAACAGTCCTTCCTGTCCATCTCAGATAACAACAAAACATCTGATATCAATCCCCACTCTGTCCCTTCCCTACGTTGCTCTGCTGCTTAGTATCAACACCCTGGTCCTGCTAGGGAGGGAGAGAAAGGAGGGACAGTGGAAAAACCTGTGAGGAGAGAAGGGTAGGGGGGAGGCAGGAGGGAAAGAAAGTGATTGGCAAGGAAGAAAAAAGGCAGAGGAAGCAAACAAGGAAGGAAGGGCGACGTGGAAGGGAGAAAAGGGGGGAGAGAGGGACCAAGGGATGGAGAGAAAGGGAAAGTTGTATAAAAGATAGATGGGAAGGAAGGAGCAATTAAGATGATGAAGAGTAGCGAGATGGTTTACCATCCAGCTCAGTTCCTGACAGTTTACCCAAATTGATAAACATAATTTATTAGTTTCTGCATTAAATAGTTGATTGATTAGAAATTAGCGTTTCTTAAGAACTTTTGTCATTCAACCAAATTTAAACCAACATACTCCTGTTTAAATAAATATCACAAAGTCAATACTTTTTCAGAAAATTGTTATTCCAACATTTATATAGATATACCACTAAAGTTACTTTCACTGACGCTTTTTCCAGACAGGTATTACAGGTCAGTTTAAACTTGAATTAACCCATGTAGGTTTTATCTACACTGTAGAAGTCAAAGGCTAGTGGACTTGCAAGTCCCAATTAAAGGACCAGTGCGTGGGAATTAATGGCATCTGCCGTCGTAGTTGCAGATTGCAACTCACTCGCTTCACCCTCCCTTTCCAAGCACAGGAGAAACTACAGTGGCCCGGGCCAGAGTTGGGTTTCTCCCTTCTCGGCTACAGTAGAAACATAGCGGCTCAACATGGCAGCCACCATGGAAGGCTCGTGGATATAAACAACTCATTCTAAAGTAACAAAAACAGGATTCTTATTTTATACACTAATGAAAATGAAAAATTATATTCCATTTATGACAATAGAGCCTCCTTTCAAATTCTCCACCCCAAAGCAGGTGGTCCAGCCTGTAAGAGACCGAAACAAGAGGTGCTTTTGGGTGGGCTTGTAACGTTAAAAAGTATGCAAGATTGACACCAGGAAATTGCTATCAAAGAGTGGGACAAAGAGTCCAACTTTATCTGTCCATTTGTGGTAGCATATACCGTCTTTATCAGAGCTGTTTAGCTGAAAACAGCTGCCCGCTGCTGCTTGCTAAATGAGGCTAAAAACCTTTGTAGAGCTTCAGTGGGGGGCAATTCTCAACATTACACATAGTCATTGCTCATATACAAAATATTGATGACTAGAGTTTTAATTTTCATTGTCTATGTGTGTAAATTTAAGAGAGAATTCCAAGCCAATCCGATGATTAGTCTAAGGTGTACGACTGACACTAGAGATGATCAGAGGAAGAGCGTTTTTCCCACCATCATTGGGGCAGGGACTGAAGTACGGATAGAGTTTCTCAGTGAACTTACAGCCACTAAAGGAGAAGATAAGATCTGCAGCATCTACGTCATAAAAGAAGACCAGACCCGCCTCATAATCCACATACACCCCTACCGTCTGCGGCTTCAACTTCAGAGAGAGACGGATAGAAGGACCAGCAAGAGCTCTGTACTCATTTTCATTTCTTAACCATATAGCCCAATAGCCATTCTCAGGGCACAGTGTGTTTTCTCCCGTTCTGTTGACCGACTCTCTAGCCACTCCTAAATCCCACTTAGTTTTCCCTTTAACCTGAACCTCATAGTAAAATCTTCCTGAAGAGAAACTCTGCTTTCCTAAGACTGTGCATGAGGACATTCTCTCTGGGTTGTCTGGGAGACTCTTCTTAACATCACCACAATTCACTCTTTTCCCATCAGCAGACACGATGAGATAGGGATTAGCAGTATCAGGATCAAGAGTCACATCCACTGCGTACTGCTGGACCCTACTAAGTTCAGCACCGGTCCACAGCTTCTTCATCTCTTCACTGAGTGTCTCCTCCAGCTGAGCCACAGCTTTCCACATAGTTCCCTTACATGATGAGTAGACTTTGATTTTTTTCCAGTCCTTGGTGTTGGGAGCAGGGTTCAAAGATGGGAAACTTTGGAGGAGCTGGAGGGGGTCTTCAGTACACGAGAGCTGCTTCAGCTCTGTGCTTCTCTTCATCAGCTCAGAGATCTCCATTTCTAGCTCTTTGATGTAGCCTTTAGCCCCTTTTTCTGTTGTTTTCTGTTTCTGGTCAATCATGTCGATGAGCTGATCCAGGCCTTTCTTAACAGACTGGATCAGAGCAGTAAAGACCTGCACACTGTCTGCTGTCTCTCTGTCTGCATCTTCCTTGCTGAGCTTCACTGACCGTTTGATCTGCTCAATCTTCAGTCGTCTCTCCTGGATCATCTGCTGAACTTCAGCCTCCGAGTCTCCAAGCTCAGCCTTCTTTCCTTCATATTCCGTTTCAAGAGGAACAATATGATGTATCTTGTGATCTGTCCCAATGCATACCTGACACACACACATCTGGTCATTCTTGCAGAACAGCTCCAGAGGTCTATCATGCTTCTTACACATCCTGCCTTCCAGGTTCTTCACAGGATCTATCAGCTTATGTCTCTTCAGGCCTGGGATTCTCTGATGAGGCTCCAGATGAGTCTCACAGTAGGAGGCCAGACACACCAGGCAGGACTTCAGGGCCTTCAGTTTGGTTTCAGTGCAGACATCACAGACAACATCTCCTGGTTTGGCTCGTTGCTGCTCTGAGCTTCTGATGATTTCCTTTACATGGGACTGTCTGAACTGAGCAGCCATCTCAGATATGAAAGTGTTGACATACAGCTCAGGTCTTCTGTGAAAACGTTTATTACACATGGGACACAGGCATTGGACATTAATATTCCAGAGTTCTGTGATGCAGGTCTTGCAGAAGTTGTGTCCACATGGTATGGTGACTGGATCAGTGAACACATCCAGACAGATGGAGCACAGAAACTGATCTTCAGAGAGAAGGCTGTTGGCTGCTGCCATGTCTACACCGTAAGAACAAAAGTGAAAGTGTAAAATAACATAATTAAAACATTACAATATTAGAAAATCTGTTTGTATCTGTAACCATAACATTTTATTAGTAAGCAACACTGGTTTTGAATTATTTAGTCATTCAGACCTTTGAAATGTTATTTAAAGAACTGTAATTTTCCATCTATATACAGCTAACTTCTGATAACTTATGTCTGTAAGTTGTTTAAACAGTTATTTCTATTTCTAGAATAATTTCTATTTTATTTACTTACCTGTGTTTGTAGTAGAAGATGTTGTATTGATGAGATTTTTGTTTAACTAAGTGTTATTTTTTCTCCAGAGTAATGGAGTTTTGTCTTGAATGCAGTTCTGTTCACTCTCCGTGTTCTCTTTCCCTCGAAGTAATGTGATGCTGAAACATCCTGTCTTTCCTGTTTAACTCCACCTCTTACTGCAGGTGAACTGGTCATGTTTTATTTGTTATGTTTGGTTAAGGCAAGGACCCAAATGCAAGGCAGATTTAGAGTTTTTTTTTTTTAGAGGCTGGCAGGCAGGCAGGCAGGCAGGCAGGCAGGCAGGCAGGCAGGTTCTCCAGAGCTGGGAGGAGGGTAGCAGTCACAGAGAGACAGGAGAAAAAACTAAATGCAGGAGTACAGCCATGGCCATGACATCATTCCCTTCTTCAGATTTGGACAGGATTATAGTGGCATGAAACTGGCACAGTATAAATTTACCTTTTGTAAATTGCTTTACAAAACTAGACATTGCATTTTTTTGTTTTTGAGATATCCTGCTACAGTGAGTAACAGACAAACAGGACCAAAATCACAACTGAATACAGAGGATTCACCCAAATCTTTTCACTTTTATTACATGACATTCTTTCAATGTAAAAACAATGCAAAATTTTGTCCAATTCATAAAAGGCTCTTCAGAAAATGTGTCCATCCAACACTTAATAGACACTAGACAACACTGCAATTATATATATGTACAATACTGATACAGTAATAAAAAACATTTTAATTTATCACAGAGTTGTTGCCACGAGTGCTTCTCGTTCTTGATTATATATTTATTCTGTAAAAAAGAATTGCAGTTATCAGAGTAGATGTGATTGAACTTGACTTGAATTAATTAATGGATAATGAAACCTCAGGAAGAGTCACAGAGGAGGGATCCCTCCTCCCAGGACAGACAGATATGCAACAGATGTGGCATAGACACACAAACAAACAAAATCATATATATACAAATACTGATGACACAATATCTGATACATGAAGATTATCAAATATATGTGAATAATATGGATCCAGCAGGACATCGAACAACGTCAGGTGTCGCCAAGTGAGACACAGGACGTCGTCTTCACCATCGAGACATTCACCACCTCATGACTCTTGCTTTCTGGGTGAATGAGGATGGCACCCCATTGACAGTATGAACCCGCCTTCATCTGTGTTTTGTTAATTTAGGACTATGACATTTCAGGAAGGCACAATAGTCTATTCCAACATCATGGCAAGCCCCTCTCCCCCCGTTTCCAATCTTAAGAGACCCAGCCACACTGCAGCACTTAGCTGTCTAGCCACCCTCTCATTGTTAATTTATGCAAAACACTCACTAATACTGCAGCCTTCCTTTTACATGGGCTTCTATCAAATAAATGCTCATATTAATACCAAGTTCTACTAGCAACCAAATCCCAAAATATAATGCTATCAAGCTACTTCTAAACTACATGTCCTGTCGCTAACATGGAAACTATTCCTGCTAATGTTCAAAGATGCTACCTTGAATTCTAGAACAGGCCTGCTGGAGAAATATGTTGTTGCACACGTGCTTTATACGTTCCTGAGACACTGTGTCAACACAACTGCGTGTCTGCTTCTTTTGATTTATTCAAAGAGTCCAGTGTCTAACATTAAGCAGGATCTATTGGCAGAAATAGAATATTACATTTACAGCATTCAAGTAAGTTCTTTAGAAAATCTATTCATTAGTCAAATACGTGTTAATGACAGGAGAGATTATCAGAGGGGCAGAGTTTCTACCACCATCATTGAGACATGGACTGAAGTACGGATAGAGTTTCTCTGTGAATTTACAGCCAGTAAAGGAGAAGATAAGATCTGCAGCATCTACATCATAAAAAGAGACCAGACCTTCCTCATAATCCACAAACACTCCCACCTTCTGAGGTTTAGACTTCAGTGAGAGACAGACAGGAGGGCTGGTGTTAGCATGATATACATTTCCATTTCTCAACCACACAGTCCAGTATCCATTTCTGGGGCAAACTTTAATTTCTCCCTTCCTGTTTACTGACTCTCTGGCTACTCCTAAAGTCCAGTCAGTCTTCTCTTTAACCATAACCTCATAGTAAAATCTTTCTGAAGAGAAACTTTGATTTCCTAACACACCACAACACGAGGTAAATCTCTCTGGGTTGTCTGGAAGATTCTGTCGTACATCACCATGAGTTACTCGTTTGCAATCGCCAGACAGGATGAGTTTAGGATAAGCTGTTTCTGGATTGAGAGTCACATTCACTGCATACTGCTGGACGCTCTTCAGTTCAGCCTCAAGCAGTTTCTTCATCTCTTTACGGAGTGTCTTCCCCAGCTTAGCCACAGCTCTCCTCACTGTCCCCTCATACGATGAGTGAACTCTGACCTCTGTCCAGTCCTTGGTGGGAGGAACAGTGTTCAAAGATGGGAAGCTTTGGAGGAGGTAGAGGTGGTCCTCTGTGCTCGAGAGCTGCGCCAGTTCAGAGCTTCTCTTCATCAGCTCAGAGATCTCCATTTCTACCTCTTTGATGAAGCCTTTAGCCCGCTTCTCTGTTGTTTTTCTCTTCTGTTCAAACAAGTCAAAGAGCTGAACCAGACCTTCTTCGACAAACTGTGTTATATTAGAAAAAACCTGCACACTGTCTGTTAGCTCTCTATCGGTTTCTATCTCGCTGAGCTCCTCTGAGTGTTTGAGCTCCTGAATCTTTAATTGTCTCTCGTGAATCATCTGCTGAATTTTAGTCTCTGTCATCCTAAATTTTGCTTTCCTTTCTTCATATTCATCTTTCAAAGAAACAATATGATGTCTCTTGTGATCTGACTCTGTGCAGAACTGACACACACATATCTGGTCAGCTTTACAAAACAGCTCCAGAGGTCTATCATGCTTCTTACACATCCTGCCTTCCAGGTTCTTCACAGGATCTATCAGCTTATGTCTCTTCAGGCCTGGGATTCTCTGATGAGGCTCCAGATGAGTCTCACAGTAGGAGGCCAGACACACCAGGCAGGACTTCAGGGCCTTCAGTTTGGTTTCAGTGCAGACGTCACAGACAACATCTCCTGGTTTGGCTCGTTGCTGCTCTGAGCTTCTGGTGATTTCCTTTACACGGGACTGTCTGAACTGAGCAGCCATCTCAGATATGAAAGTGTTGACATATAGCTCAGGTCTTCTGTGAAAACGTTTATTACACATGGGACACAGGCATTGGACATTAATATTCCAGTGTTCTGTGATGCAGGTCTTGCAGAAGTTGTGTCCACATGGTATGGTGACTGGATCAGTGAACACATCCAGACAGATGGAGCACAGAAACTGATCTTCAGAGAGATGGCTGCTGGCTGCTGCCATGTCTAAGAACAAAAGTGAAAGTGTGAATAATAAAGCACGTAATTTAAACAGAGAAAATATTATTACTGTACTTACAAGCGTTTGTCGCGGACTATATTGTTGAGAAAGTTCTGATGAATGTTTAGTTTTCTTGAAAGGGGAACAGAGAAATACTTCCTGCCTGTTGCATTACTGAATCACTCTGAATTACTTTCAATTTCACTTAAGCAAATTGATGAACACACTCCTCCCCTTCCTCTGCTGCTTCTCCTTTTACTAAAGTTTAATAAAGCTGGAAATGTTGTTGTGATCTCCCACAGGTTTGGAAATAATTGGTCAATATTTCACATTTATAGAACTCAGTTTAACCAGAAATGTTGCACCAGTGTTGTTTAGTTGTTAAAGAGTTAATCCTTCAAGGTTCATTTCATTTCTTATACTACAACACATATTAATCAGCATTTCTATAAATGTGCCAGTGTAAGCCAGCTGGCTAATTTACAGTTACAGTTTTAGAAACATAGCAATATGTACTAAAACTAATGAGATAACAGGTTTGGAAATGCAAACATAACACAATAAAAAAAATGCACAAAGCAGTGCAGAATCATGCAGAGCAACAGGAAGCAGCTTAACACTGATGACCACATCCGCTCTTAAGTATAGAATAAAGTAGCAGACCACAAATTAGCAATGCCATGTATTAGAAGTGTGTGACCTTTCAGAGCCAGGTCTTAAAACTTTGTATGAAGATGTGGTATAGTTTTTTATTTCAGTATTTCACATCTGACAAGCTCTCCTTTAGAGGATTTTACAGTTCTGTTGAAGAGCAGACCTAGTAACCCTGTTATTTGAGCTTAAACAAATCAGACAAGCATCAAAGTATTTCATAAGAATGTTAAGGATGCTGTATTTGCCACATTGGATCCAGAGTTCGTGTTGATGACCTCAGAAAAATAATAGATTTGACTTTCTGGCCTTTTTCAGAAGTATTTATAGCTTTTCCGTTGATATTGCACCAGCCAGAAAGAGATAGGTACTAACACTGCGTTCAGTCAACTGACATAGCTTTCCTGTAATTCCATACCAGAGGATAAATATCATATCCATCAAACCTGACCGTACCTGAGTATACACATGAACTGTACTTGAGGCCACCTTTGTGGACGGCACACAGGTCCCTGATATGAATGTCTTGAGGCTTCCTGTTCTTCCTCAGAATGCATTAGTAGCTAGTAAGCTTTAAACATCTTCACCCTCTGCCATCGTTACATGTTCATGAATTTGTGGTTACTGACTTTGAAAATGCTCCACCAAGGACACATGGACAAGGTCTCCAGAGAGAGTAAAGCGTGCTGTCCGATCAATGCAGCGCAGTTAGTGTGTGATGTTTAAATTAAAGTACAGGTACAAGCCTGTACAGTTTTTTAAAAATGACTGCTATCAGCTGATGGGTACTATCCTTCCTCACCCCGCCTCTCCCGTTCACTTCCTCCAATCACAATCTTGATCCTCTTCCTCCAAAAATCTCATTTGGTTCATCCTGATGCTGAATGGGCTGAATGTCACTGTTGCTAGGATACATCATCCTGACGACTGGCTGGCTTTCCTTCAAGGCTAGGGAAGAACAGGCAGGGGGGAACAGAGGAGGGTAACAAGGAAGGGGGTAGAAAAAAGTGAACAAGTATTATTGGAAGGAAGATAGGGGTGAAGTAGATAGATGGGTGGCAAGGAAGAAAAAAGAGAAGCAAAGAAAGAGGGATTTAAATCAGAAATTCAAAGTGAAGGTTGAAAGGAGGGAGGGAGGTGGGGGAAAGAATGAGGGCACAAGGGAGGAAGGAAACAAAAAAGGAAGGGAGGAAGAGAAGGGAAGGGGCACATCCAGTTGGAGAGAAGAAGGGATAGGAGGGAGGAAGAAGAGAAAATAAGTGAAGGAAATTAGAAGGAAGAAAGAAAGGAAGGAGAGGAAAGCAGGGTGTGAGGAAAGGTAAAAAGGAGAAATGGTTAGAGGGAAGCAAAGCAATAAAGAGAAAAAGAGGACACAGCCATAGCGGATGACGAGGGAAACACCTTATGTTTTGTTTATTATTATGTAATCTGCCTCCCTGTCTGTGTTGTCATCGTCCTTTCTCTCAGACTCCGCCCCCTTTGCATTGTCCTGGTAACGGCCGTCAGACTGATGTTGCCGGGCACGGCTCCACGGTAATGCTTTGCTTCAGTTGTATAAAAGAGGTCAGTCAAAAAGGCTGGAACATTTACATGAGCATGCACTTTACACACGTTCAGACACATTACTTCAGTTTCACACAAAGAAGTGGTGCATTTCTTCACCCAAAGGTTTTATTTATTCATTAGAGAAGGCTTATTAATATTTACAGCAAATATACTGTAGTTGCTGGTAGAAGCATACGCGTTGTTTGAGTTGTTAGCAACCCAACAGTAGGATGTTTATAAAAGGTCATGTTAGAAAAATGAAAAATGCTTTCATAGGCGTTATACATTCAAAGTCATTGTGTGAAAAGAACAAGGTTATTCAGTGATGGAGTAAGCACAAATAATAGATCTTGAAAAAAATTATATTTTGTGGTTGGTTCTATAGGGCTTGAGTTGACGTATACAGTATATGTATATGTGTTATGCCAACAATCTGACATATATAGAGCAACTACCAATGGAATATCATACGATTCACCCCTATAGTGTGATTCATCATGACTGGATTCAACACAATGCGATTCAAGGCAATGCGATGCAAAATAATATGATCCTATGCTATTCAATATGGTACAGATAGTTTGATTTTATTTCTTTGGTTATTCTTAAGCAGCTTGACTTGACAATCACTGCAACTTTTCCACAAATTTGACCAATCACTGTAGTTTCCCGCACAAAACGGTGAGCCATACATCACCAAACTCATGTCCTTGTTTCTAGTTGTGAAGATGCAGACCATGCACACATGTGTAACGTGAATGTCTCACACTTACCCTCATAACCCTGAGAATTTTTGGTAAAGTTACTTGAAATACTCCAAACAATCAAGTCGATGTTTTAATTTTTAATAAATTATACAAAAACAAAATCGTTTTTGTTGCAATTTTAATTTTCTCCCAACATTTCATTGCAAAACAAATGCCCTGAACACTCCACCATGCATTGCAATTTTTGTGAAAAGCCGCAGTGAAATCATTTTAGGCAATCCCAAAAAAAGCCTGCAAAATCCTACAGAGGAGGAATCAATCTAAATATAAATATGTTGGTCACATTTCTAAATAACACTTGCTTGATCATCCATTTAAGCTTGCACTCCACGGGAGAGACGAGAATTAGCACCAAACAATCTGTCAACTGTCTAACTCGATCCCAATACGGACGGGAACATCCATATTTGTGGATTTTTCTGGACATTTTGTAAAAATGTATTTGTAAAAAATTTGGTAGGAAACTTGACTGGTATCGTAACCAGAGAGTGGTTTCACTTCCAGCTCTTCGTGATGCTTTCCCCCCCCAACCCTTACAGGTTGAAAAGCTGTATATGAAGAGTGAAAGACCCCCAGTATGGCAGACAGAGGGTGCGTTACGTCACCCAAATGCCCTCTGCCCACTCCGGCAGCTGTAGTGGCCAGTAGGCTTAAATGGGTTAACAGACATAAAATGAGGTAATCCGCAGTGCTTGCAGTGCAGCGGGGTTGGTGAGGTTGCACTGGGTGCTGGCTCAGCGTTGTGTTTATCCCTCTGTGGAATCGACAGAGCATAAAAGAACTGCTGCAGTGAGCCGCTCTCATTCACAGCAGGATTAGTGGAGCATTTAGTCGTCTTTTTATTATGATTTTTTCTTTTTTTGTCTGCCTGCCCCTGACAACACAGACACGAACACACTACCGGGCGACCTAGCTGACTCTCAGGGCAATGCTGTCCATATAACCAGCTCTTTGCACTCCATCCCTGCTGTCTCTTCTCCTCCTTCCTAACATCTGGGTCAGAAAAGTGTGACGTGTGACTAAGGCAACACTTACAAAGTACAATACAAGAGTACAAGCCGGTTCACGATCATTTTCTGTGGAGATATTCTTTGGTCTGGGTTATCTCACAGGTATATGGTTGTGGATTTTTCTCCTGGGACATTTTATGACCATCAAACATTTTGTGAGCTTCAGTCTAATTAAATGGATTTCACAATACGCTAACAAGACCTACTTGCTGGCAATGAGATCTGAGGTCTTCTCTCCTCTCCCTGTCTCTCTATTCATTTCAATGCATGCCTCGGATGGTAATGTTTTTCTCCTCATGTCCAGGTTGCAGAACTGCAGCTATTTTTAGAAAGAGGCATTGCTTTGGGGAACCCCTATAAGTACAGCCGCCTGCCTCTCCGTCTCTCCCTTCTCTCCAAACACAACATATGCTTTCATACGCACCTTAAATACAGATGTGCAGCAGCTCAGGGGCAATCCATTCTTGTGTTTTCGTGCGGCTGTAGCGCATATGCATTTTTAAATTTGCAGTAAGCAGCCAGAATCCTGTCACAAGTTCCATTTTCTCTTTAAGAAAGAAAAAAGCCTGAAAAATAGAACACAAAACGAATGCTGACAGCAGACAGTATGGCTAGTACAAGCCAGTACAAGCAGGTATATCTGGGGAAACATATGCATTGCCTAAGGACCTTCTGTTCACAAGCACAGATGATGTTTATCCTTTGAATGTGACATTTTGAGCTGACATTAGCTGAGACAGATGACAAGCTCGCGTGTCACTCAGACGTTTTCGCCTGGCACATGGCTGCTGATGGACATACAGGAGCTCTTGTGCTCTGACATTTATATCAGCTGCTCACTCAAATAGTATTTGACTGCAAAATAGCTTATGTTCGGAAAAAGTGTTTGATTTGCATGCTAGTTTGCTGGAGAATGGAACACAGATGACAGGTGATTGACAAAGGATGATGATGGAGTTGTCTGTTCCGCCATGTTTTGCAGACGCATGTATGTGATTGTGAGTGTTTCCTTACCACTGACTGACTAAAAACAAAACTGCAAATTTAAGATGGAGATGCTAAGTGCTAAGGATGCTAACAAGCCTACAGTGACATTT